CCCCCCTCTTCTCATCCCTCCATCGGGGCAGTGCAACTGACTGAAGTTGTCGTTAGACCAATACCAAAGGCAGGATATTAACATGTTTTCGTGCACAGTAGAATTGTAAATGGGCTGATTTATTAATGTCATACTTATACTGTGCCGGAACAACATAGGGGGAACTGCTGCTTTTTCTTTCCTCATCCTTACTTCGTTGCCTGAATCACGTACTTTCGTAACCAACAAAGCTGGGGTTGCGAGCTACAGTGGTTTAAAGATTTTTACAATTTTTCAAATCCTGTTGTGAATGAACGGAACATGATATCTTATTGATTTTTGGTTTGTATATAGACTTTATGTCATACTTGCTGTCACTGCTTCCGAAAATCGATTTTTAAAGTGACAAATGACCATTTTGTCACTTTTACGTAGTATGGGAATGCAAAGTATATAGCGGTACAGTCCCTTACGCTACACAATATGGCGCTTACGATAGTTTTCTCACTACAGTACGCAATCAGAGTTCAACAGATTGTTAAAAATGTTTAATATTATTTAAAAAGTTGTTTTAAATTAATTTATTTACATCAAATTTTTAGCATTTTAGTAGAGGTGTTGACCAGAGTCATGCTGTGCAGTGAACTGTTGCGAACAGAACCAATCTTTTTTCGCGTGCTCATATGACCGTATGCAGTTGCGGGCGCCGTAAAACTCTTACTAAAACAAAAAAAGCTCATGAACTGAAACGCTGTATTGATTTTTTCTTTTTCATTCCCCTGTTGGTGGTTAGGGACAGCTTGGTGCAGTCTACTCCTTTAAGTTATTTGTGTCAGTGTCACAATGTGGGTGGTTTTTGAGCCTACTTCTTTCCTTTCCTCCTGTTGTTTCTGCTTGTCTGTCTGACTGTTTTTTCTTGCTCTAAATGGCCAGTATTGAGATGGTGTGCTTTCTTTTACTCAAACTCATACAAACAAAACTCACTGTCACTGTTGTGTTAAACCCCCGGGGCAGTGCCACTGACTGTAGTGTCTTTAGGCCATTCCCAAAGGAGGGACATTTCTCGTTCAAGTACAGTAGAATTGTAAATGGGCTGATTCATGTCACGCTCATAACTGTGCCTGATCTACAGCTGAGAACTGCTGCTTTTTCTTTCTTAATCATTACTATTGTCATTTTCCTCTACTCCTTTTGTATGTTTGTCACTCTCTTGTGACCTACTATTTCTGGGGTGCCTTGATAGTCGAAGCAGACCTTGTGCTGTTGAAGCTAGAGAGGTGAGCAGAATAAGTCTGATTCCCTGTAAAGACTTCTCTGTTGACACCCACCCCTTGGCGCTCATATGACCGTATGCAGTTGCGAGCGCCATAAAACCCTCTACTATTTAAAAAAAAAAATACTGTTGTGTTAACCTGCGTCCATAGAAAATATGGTGGTTTATCAACTCTTTGTTGGTGACTATCACTATGCGAGCTCAGTGGTACCTTGCACTAACATCCAACGTCGGACTTTTGGGAGCATTTGTTGCAGCTGTCAAGGCTTTAGAAAAGTCTTTCACATAAGCCAAAAATTGTTATGGTTTATACCCCTGATCCATCAAATTTCAGTTTCATTTTGTAATAACTCTTGTTTCATAACACCAGTGCTGCTCAGTGGTGACGTGGCTTTTATATTTAAATTCTGGGTTTTTCCCCCTCATAAATGTGTTTTAACCATTGCTGTATAGCTGTGAAAAATTTCCTAAATGGACAATAAGATAGCACTTACCTTGCGACTTGTCTAAACATCTCTTTTATTCCCTTATCAGGGTGGGCGGACAGTGGCCAACAGGCCTCACCTGCAGATCCTGGAACCTCACATGAATTACTTTGAGGAGATCAGCAATGACGCTCTCTCCATAAGAGGGTTTCAGGAATATCGTTGCAATGATTACCACTTAGGTGAGATCATGTGAACCTCATGTTTGCTAAGAGGCCATCAGACATTTTACACAAACCATCCAAATGTTTTAAATATTTCTTTAGGCCATAAGTCATATTTTCATGTTTGCTCAGTGGCTAATAGACATTATTTACTTTACTAACAGCTCTATTTTCAGCCATGTCACATTACCATAGAGCCTCTGCTAAAAGGTGTTGTGGTGGTGCCACTTGATCAAAGGAGAAGTTTGAGAGATAAATGATGACAAGAGCATATACTCTAGTAGATTTTTTCAACAGTGTATGACATGACATAGATTTGTTATTGAACTCAGAAAAGTGCGCAGAATAATTAGAACAGCCAAAAAACATCTTTTCGCTATTATGTCTATAAAATAAACAATAACACACCAATGCACAAAATCTGGAAGATGATTAAGAAATTAAAAGGTACCAAAAGAGACACAGTCAGACATATCTTAAAATAGGTACCACAAATCCAAATTTCAAAGTGCTTTGATCAAACATATGTTTGTTGCATCATAAAGAACTATGCAAACCACAAACTTTGGTGTTTGAATTATAGAAATCGGACAATAAATAAAAAAAGGACAGGCGTTTGAAATTTGTGGACGTCGTAAATTTTTGGCAACTTTAAAATCACGTTAAAAAGTGCGATTTTGTGAGTTCACAGAAAATTTATTCAGGTACTTAAAGTGTGTATTATCATTTGTTTCAACAGGTGCTAGTATAAACTATGGAAAATATCAAGATGAGGACAGTCAGAGTTTAAATAAAGCCAATACAGAGACTTAAAATTGGAAAAAAAATTACTCCTTGATGCATAATGTTAATTCAAACATGCTGAAAAGACTGATTTCAGACTTCAATAAAATGGAAAGTTATTGCTGAAAAGAAATGAAATTACAGAACATATTCACAGTAGTGCAAATTCATAGCCCAATTTTTTTCAGAGTTCTGCCACTTCAATTTAATCAGATATGGAACCACAAAAATGGGAAAACTGCCAATTTTGCGTATAAACAGAAAATAACAACACGATACACATGGCCTGAACACTTTTCAGAATAAAATCACCTAAAATCATGGTAAATGTCTGAAACTTTCCATGCCAATGTATTTTTGGACGAGGAATCCATTTCTGTTATCATTTTTGTGATAACATGAAGCATTACAATGATATGAGGTTAGATAAGAGAAAAAATACGAAATTATTTGGCATAATTTCAACAAAATCATCTATAACTTCTATAGAACAACAAGAAAGACGCCCCAAAGTTCTACCTCTATGTGTTTTTGGGCGAGGAATCCATTTCTGCAATCAAATCTGAGATAAAATGAGGCATTAATAAAGTAAATATTCAACAATGGCAGATCAGATACACAAACACACACAAAAACTCCTCAATTCTAATTACTTTTTTTTTAATTGGAAAGAATCTCCAAACAATTTTTTTTCAAAAATAAAAAAAATTGGGCAGAAGCTCTCGCCCGGGCAGAGCCCATTTTCGTTTCAAAACGATTTTTTTCCAAAAATATAAAAATTGTGCAGAAGCTCCTGCACGGGCAGAGCCCATTTTCAAATCAAGGGCTTGGACACTTGGGGAGAGGGTGGAGGAGACACAAGTTAGATCTGCAACAAAGTTCAAATTCCCCATGGTTCTTTAATCTAAAAAAAAATTGGGTTTATTCAGGAATAGATCTAGCAATTCTAAAGGTACCGACTTATTCGATAATCACGAATTATTATGAATGAAGCCTTCAAGTAGGAGAGTCCATTTTCAGCAGTAAACCAGCCTCTAAAAGTTGTATAAAAAAATAATTCAATTGGTGCCGGTACTTGTTTCATGAGTCTAAATAGATATATTGGCTAAAAGAAAACAATTAAATGAATTAGTTATCAAAAACTTTGTCAGATATTCGCGATATTCAAGAGAATATATTCATTCATCAATGAACAAATGCCAGCTGCACCCCCTTCACAGATGAGTTCATCAAGCTTGTTATGATCTGAAAAGAGAGGTCACCAATACGGAATCATCGATAGAATGAAATGGTCACGTGACCAGAAAATAACACCAATTTTTAATGACTAAAAACAAATTGATTTAGATTTTACCATATTTTCAAGAAATTTTAGCTTCTTATGTTTCTATCCAAACCAGATTTACAACAATACTGGGTACTGAATTAATTACAGGACGCTTTGAATGAGACCACCCGTTCGCATGTTTGCGATCTCGGCTTCAAGCGCTAGCTAGATCTAGGTCAGGCAAAGGTTGATGACTTTATGAAGAACTAAGTAACACTATAACAATCTAATTAACAAAATCAACTTACCGCACATCTCCTGAATATCCCTATCCATGATTGGAAGCACAATGCAGCCCTTGACATGCACTTATGTACGTGAATAGAGCGTAATCGAAAATAGGTAGTGCACGTAAATAATTCTCCGCCATTGCTGAATCAAGCGCGTCGCCAGAGATGGGACCAGCATGTGTGTTTACTAAATCAAGCGGCGCTAAACGGCTGCCAGACCAATCATAGTCATTTTTACACACGATTCCCTTGACATGTTCTTCTTTTGCATAGTCCAGGGTTCTTTCGGCCAATCATTAGTCAGACTTGGAGATTTCCATTCTAAAAATAGGTTCTAAAACTCCCGATATTTCTGGGTCAACAACTAACTTTAGCAACAAGCGCTTGGTACCGGGTGAAAGCTTATTCAAAGCTCGTTCTTGCACTTTTTGTTTCATGACGATAGCAGTTATATCCGCTTAGCGCGAAGGCATTTTATGAAGCACCCTAAATTTTTGTCGCCGCAGCCGGCGTGAAAAATGACGCGAAAAACGCATTCCCGTGCATTTCGGTGACCTTTTTAGAAAGCTTACTATACAATATCTCGTTCCGTGCTGTCCTCAATTGTTTGATTTTAGCTAAAAACAATAGTTGAACTGACTTAGTTCGAAGCGGGGTGAAGATTGGTGTCAAATTAGAAGAGTTATGGTTGATTAAAAATGACCAGATTTTGAGTTTCCTACACACTTTCAATTGCGCAGAGGTGGGGGTTTGTGGTACCTACTTAAAACCAAATAACTGCTTTGGGTTGGAGTAATGTAAATAGACCCACTACCCTGTCTGTAGGAGGTGAAACTCCTCCAATGACGAAGTATACACATGGACCCCAACCCCCTCTGGGATCCGTGTCCGATGCCTACTTTGGTGTATCTTCATCTTCTCCTTTCTTCTTTCTTACTTCTTCTGTCTCTTCTTCCACCGCTGACCTCATGTGGAGCAAAACTAGAGGTCATCCATCCCACAGAGTGGGCGCCTCATTGACCTTGAGGTCCAACCCGTGCAGAGGGGAGCTGGGTACCTGGCGGTTGAGGTGAGATCCGTCTGCGGACTGTCCCTCACCAACACACTTTTTTGGCCCAGGTTCTCCTCATAGACTGGAAGGTGGCACGGCCCATGACACTCAATCGGTTGGGAGCTGAAACCCCTTCAGTCCCTGGGTCGATCTTGACGATAGGGTCTCGTACTTTCTCGTGAAGAGTATAACTCCGGGGTAGCCCTGGCACAGCTTTGGCTATCCAAGCAATGTGCTCCCTTTTTGGGCTCTGGAGGGTGGGGAGCCCGGATCCGAATCAAAGTGGACCTCCTGGTGAAGGAATCCTTGTCCTTTCTGTTGAGATCAACGACCAACACTCTCCCACAGACTGACTTTAAAAATAAAGTAAAAAACTTCCCAACATTAAGCCCAAACTGGGTCCACGAAAACCTTCGGGCCTCTCCAGAAGAGACAAAGTCATTTTTACTCGATTACGCATCGGACACATATCCCTGACACACAAATACCTCCTTCAGGAAGATGAGAAGCCGTTTTGTGTCGGATGCGACGCAACTTAAAAAGTTATTTTAAATAAAAAAATTTATTTACATCAAATTTTTAGTATTTTAGCATTTTAGTAGAGGTGTTGACCAGAATCACGCTGTGCAGTGAGCTGTTGTGAATGGAACCAACTTTTTTTCACGCGCTCATTTGACCTTATGCAGTTGCAAGCACTGTAATACTCTTACTAAAACAAACAAAACAGAGGAGACTCTATCCCAATGCCTCCATTTTCTCTGTGGAGGCCACTTTTTGATCATCTGGGACTGCCCTTTAGCTGGATTTGTTCTTACCTGTCAAATCGATACCAACCTATTGTTATAAAAGGACTTAAGTCATCAGATCATTGCTCTTAAGTATGGGGTCCCCCAGGGCTCAGTCCTCTGTCCAGTTTTGTTCACCATTTATACTCAACCACTTGTCAAGGAAATAGTAAAGTATGACTTAAAGTAGGTACCACAAACTGGCCGTGCGCCCCAGTGGCGTACGGTCACGGAGACTAAAACCCATATTTTTACCCTCCTAAAACAGCATGTGATCATGTATATAGTTACATGCAGACACTTGATATATCAGAAGAAAGAGGAGCTTTTCCTCTTTTTAGTGGTATTATTTATTTGAATCAACGATTCTTTTGAAAGCAAAATCTTGTGGGATAAAAAACAACACGTTCGAGGTTTTCACTGCTATATGTTGGTATTGGTGGCAACAAGACCGTTGACCACAGTGCCAAAGAATCTCTGAAACTACCTGAAAACAAAAATAGTAAAATCCTATTCTCTGGCCTGAAACCCGAAGTAAAAGAACACATTTTGGACCAAAATTTTAGAACTAACAAACTTCACTACATCCAACCAAAGCTTTTGCCAAGGAAACCAGTGTCTCTTCTCTGAGGAGAAGACATAATTTACACAAGACTAAAAATTGGGCACCTGCATGCCACTCACAAATATCTACTTGAAGGAGAAGAAGATCCTTTTTGCGTGGCATGCAGCCACAAATTTTGCTATTCGACACATTCTAGTAGAATATACAGTACAGTTGATATTGTAAAAGCATGTAAGAAATTTTTACCACATTTATGAACACTTATAAATGTCTGTCCATATTTTTAGTACATAACTAAGCTTGCGGCAATAATGTATTTTTTTGGCACTTACATGACCAAATCTGTGTCAATAGTCTCGTAAAACACTTAATCAATCAATCAAGCAGATCATCTACACAGAGGTTTAGTTAGGTTTTCATATGATGACTTTGTTTTTCCATCCAAAAATGTTTCAGAGTGCATCCCAGAGGAGAACCTGTACTTTATTGTGAGCCCTAAGGATGTGGTGGTAGCCCGTCTGAGAGACCAGGATGACCACATCACATGGCTCATGGAACATGAGCAGTATGAGGTAAATGCAGGAAGTAGGATTGTAATTTTTTTCTTCTCCAGAATCCACCCTTTCCAAATGTCCCCTTGATAGACGAGTGAAGCATTCTGTTGTTTATGGACATTTTTTCTTTGGAGTTTTGAAGTTACAACCTAAGAAGTGGGTAACGGAGGGGCAGACTCTTACAAACTATTTCATCGAATAAGAATCCTCTAAACCCTTATTTTGCCACCTATCTAGCATGTTAATCACCACCATATCCTCCTAAAGTCCTTTCTTTTTTCTTTACAGTCCGTTTTCTCAAAACACCGTTTTAATATACTTTTTAAAATAACTGCACCATTTTTCATCCTATCCAAATGAGTTTTTTACAGAATGAAGAAAAAATATAACACTAAAAGATTTTGAATTCAGTATAACATGGATAGGTCGAGCACAGAAGACTTGAAATCATGCATCCGTTAAACTGTGCATGCAGTCCCGGTTTTTTTCTTCTTCTTTATCTTTGTAAGATATCCCTCGAAACCACGGATCCCTTGAACGACCAAGGCTAGTCCCAACAAATTTGAGCTATCCATGTTATATTGTACATGGAATAGATTTTTGGTGGTGGTGTCTGGAGCGTAAACTTTCACTGATTTTTTTGCAGCCATAAATACTACCTCCAGAAAAAAAAGTCGGGAAAAAAAAACAGAGAAAAATTTGCTAATTTGTTTTGGAAAAATTCAATAGACAATTTTTTAGAACTATTGTTTCTTAACATGTATGCAAAATAACCAAGTTATATCGATTAAAAATAAGTGAGAGATTAATTCCACAATGCTTGTTATATGTGTGAAATGGTTCCTATCTTTGTTATTGACTACTGTTTTTGGGCTGTAGTGTATGGTTCGTCTCATAGTGTCGTTGCTTTGACACTTTTGTAGAACTGTTGTGGCGAGTGCTTACACAGTTCACTTCATTTTTCGCCATATTCCTTCCATGACTGTTCCTTGGCACTTCTGACTATTCTATTGTTGTGTTGTCTTGCAAGTCTGCATTTCCCATAGTCCTCATCTAGCTTTGATTTTACCCACACCTTGTACAACTCCTTCGAAAAATACTGTACATTATTAGAAATGCTTAATATGTCGATTAATTAATGTGTTTTTTTGTCTTTTACACAGGAAGCCATGGCTGCTGCCTCAGAACACAGCCGAGAGCTGAAGATGCACACATATTCTGTAAGGCTGCTATTACATGTTCTGTCAAAGAGGGTGTTTTGCCTCGTTATTGTATCTGTCTTTATTTTATTATTAGAAAAATTGTATGCTCCTAGAACATGTGCATGGGAATAATTTATTCCAAAATTCTCCATCTTTAAATTTGGGCTCATGATATTTCTTGGACTGCTGTATATCTCATTTATCTTTTTTTAAAAATCATGTTTCTATGGCTTGACATGTTTCTTTGGTTCAACATTTAGCTAAGTTTTGTGTGCTCATGATACATGATCTTTTAAGCTTCAGAGGAAAAGGAACCAAAAGATATGGTAACTGTTGGTGTCTTTTCTTAAGGGAGGTACACTGGAACTCAGTTTCAATTAACTCAGATTCAATTAAAGGAGTTGGATTCCCTGCTTTTTTTAATTAATAGAAACCAATAAAAATAACTCGGATTCAACGAACACATAAATAAACAAGCTCGGACTCAATGAAGTCGCTTGCAGGGTGAACTGCTCTATGTGACCCATCAATGGCCTCCTTTCATACCAACAGACGCGTTATTATCATGCACCCATGTCTTAGCTTGTATCGGGGTCGGATGGGTGGGCCAGCACATGTGCGACGTATGACTGTCTTTGCATGTATCTTGGCGGGGGTGTGGGGGGGGGGGGGGGGGTGGGAGGCAAATTGGGGGTACAAATGGTCCAGGCACGGAAGTTCAGTAGAGATAGAAACGCGACACAGTTATTTTTTACCCCGGCTACAAATCAATATTACTAGCCTTGACATAGATCTACGTAATGAATTTCGTGCTAGACTGTGGAATCTTATGTTGCAGTATGCTAGGCTCTACACAGCAACATAACTTGTTTGGCAAACAATACGTTATAGATGATAGATGACACAGGTTTGCATTTTAACAAATCGGCCCTTTAGCACTGTGTGTGCTTGGTAGAGTTCAGCGTATTTTCCTTGAGTTTTCCTGCAATTCTTTGTTATCAAAGAAAAGACAATACCTCTCATTTGAAACCAAACTATTTTTGATTGAAAAAGTCAAACTATTATTATTATTATAATTATACATTAATTGCGCGGTGCCTGTAATTATCTACACAAAACCACATATTTGCCATAGCGAACACTTGGATTGAACGAAATTGAAGGCCAGGCCCAGCGACTTCATTGAGTCTCAAATTCCATTGTTGCTGGTGATGGGTAGATTTTGAACCAAATTTGCTAAAATTTATCATATTTTGAAGTCATGTTTTCTAAAATTCTTCATCAACATAGAATCGATCCTTGATGCAAAAACTGCTGGAAAAAAATTAATTCCATTTGTTTTAGGGGCTTCATGGCCTGTTGTTGTTTCATTGTTCAAAACTGTGTGTGAAAGCTTTGCCGTTGATTTCTTAAGATATCAAATTTTAGGACAGTTGAGGGTCATAAGGATAAATGTTCTAAAAAAACTGATACAGCCCTGAAACTTTATGTGCATGTGAGAAAAAAAATGGTATAGGATATTTAAGAGGCGGGACCTCCGAGTTTAACGCCCATCTCCGAAAGGACTGAGCCAAATGGAAAATTCTTGTGAAGTGCCTTTCCCAAGGACACAATGTCGTACCGAGCTGAGACTCGAATGTATGTGTTTGTTTATAGATCCATTTTAATACGACAGATAAAAGAGATATTAACTTTTTCCCTCTATCAGGAGGTAAAAATTAGACTGTGGAAACAAAAATTAATTTTTGATGTGAATATTATCATTGAAAGTATTCTATAACCCAGATTTATAAAAATAAATGTTTTCTACAGTTTTCAGCTCTTTACATCATTCTTGTTTGAGAACAATTAATTTTACGTTTTATGTTTATTATTCAAGATGGCCATCTTTTCCATAGCAACAGTTATGTCCTCACCCCCAAAAATTACCTCTATTTCTTTTGCAAATCATTCTAAGAGATACTGGCCATCATTTCCATAGCTTTTTTGTGCTCTTACTGTTATGTTTGAGTAAAGCTTACAATTGGGTCTTGTGCATAGTGTCTTTCTGGTGCTGGAATCTGTTTTGAGCATGAAGCATGTTACTCATTTATTTCCTTAATGGACCTAGAAACACGCCACAGGGTTATTACAAATTTCCAGCTTCGTATTTGAGCTTACCTGGAGAGAAATGTTCAACTCCTAGAGCATACTATTTAAATAGCTTCCACCTTCCCTTAGTTTATTTAGCAAGGTCAGTTTTATGTAAATTTGTTCTATAATACACAAATGCACATTGTGTATGATTTTTGTGTTACAGTTTTTCGTATCACTCAATTTTAGTTTAAATAACAAATTTGACGTCTTCTTGGTTGAATTTTATTTATTTTTCAGTTACAGTTTTTCGTATCACTCAGTTTTAGTTTAAATAACAAATTTGATATCTTCTTGGTTGAATTTTATTTATTTTTCAGTTTTGTTAGGATTGGTCCGAACATCAAGTTATTTCTCTAAAAAAAATAATGATAGTCTCTTTCTGAGTTTGTTTGCTTAGGCAAGTGTCATTTCACAGCTGTCTTCTTTAGAACTCCGTATGTGTCACGGCATGGTGGAATCAGGCACTCCTCAACTTTTTGGGCGTATGGAGTTATTGGTATCATGTTTAATTGCCTTGCTTTCGATTAAAAAAAAATACCCATTCATCTTGGATACAATCAGGATATTGACGATTGAAGGAGGTGGGGATTGCCTGGTTTCACAGGTAAAATTAGCGAGAAAATGGCCATCAAAGTTTAGTTATTTCCTAAGCAAGAGAGTCTGTGGAAACTTAAAATGTACATAATTTTTGCCTTTAATCAGCGTTTTTTCAGGAAAATCCACACACAAATGTGTTCTTTAATGGGCATGCAAGGTGTTGAGCCAAAAAGCAAAAAGTCTATAAAAATTCCCAAACCTGCAGAAAAATGCCAGTTTCTTCATTTCCATTATTTTAACGAGCACCTGATTTCACCACCCTGCCTCACATATATGTGTCAATGAGGCGAGAAAATGGCCACCAAAGTGTTGTAACTCCAGTAGCTAAAGAGTCCTTGAAAACAGAAAAATTACATATTTGTGCCTTTAATCAATGGTTATTTTTTAGTAAAATTCACATGGAAATGTCTTTTTGTATGGATATAAAAGACGTTAAGCCATAAAATAAAATTCTTTAAAAATCTCCTTGCTGGTAGAAAAATGCCTGTTTTTCCTATACCTGTGTTTTGACAAGCGCCTCATTTCACCACGCCACCTCACGTATTTCTTTTTGCTTTTTCCTCTGCACAGTGCTTTACTGTACAGAGCTAGATCTATAGATGTTCAAGCTAATTGATCATTCTTTTTTTACCAGACTTTTTCTTTTTTTCCAGGATATCGGACGTGCTTACCTGAACTATTTGATAGAAGAAGATTGCTTCGATGAGGCTGGACGGCTATGCGTGAAAATTCTGGGCAAAAAGAAGGAGCTGTGGGAGGAGGAGATTTACAAATTTGCCAAAATCAATCAACTTAAGGTCTGTATGACCATCCTAGCTGTGCGTATTTTTTGTAGGCTTATCTCCTAGTCAACAGTGTCAGTGTCCTATGACCTCTCAGACGAAGCTCTGCAGGTGGCTTCATGCTCATTGCCACTCTGTACGGCGCTTACTTTATTTGAGTAAGTAGAGAGAGAGAAACTGCTAAATCACTGTGATCACCTTTGTATACTTCACATACCATATATTTTTTAACTCATTCGCTACGCCGAGCCGTGGGGGGCGGCGCGGCTAAAGTGCCGTCAGTACGCTAAGCCGCCCCCCGGCGGCTCGAGAACCGACGTTCAATTTTAGCTTGGTTTCTATTCCAATCCACATATCCATGTTAAAATATAAAGGTCATAATATAAAGTTGACTTCCGGGTCAAGCGTTTCCACCGAAAATTGGAAGTTTTGATTCAGTTTTGAAACAGGATTTTGAAGTTTATGCGACATTGTTTTATCGCGAAGCCCAAATTATAGCCCAGACACCAGTCTTAGTACTTTTACACAACAAAATGTATAATTATTTTCCTCGCTAAAGAAGTGTAGGACTCTTCTTTATAATATTGATACTACTGGACTCAAATTGCCAGTGCACTGAAATTGAGAAATCAATATTTTTGAGTGCTAGATCTAGATCTAGGCCTAAATCTAAATAGTCAAAATATTTTTTTCTCCCCAGAATCACTACTTTTTAGTGAATTTACTCAAAAAGTACCCCCTAAGACATGTATAGGTTTATTCTAAATGCAATTCTGAATAATTCCATATAAGATACGAGTATTTTATTCTGTTTGGAATCCTTTTTTCAAAATTATTATAAAATTATTTTTTTTTCAATATCGGAGGTTATGATCCAAATGTACAAGTATTATGGAATGTATGTATATAACTGCTCATTTGTCAATATTTTCCTGTTCTATATACAATTATGGTTATTTTGATGTATAATTTGACTAGGTGCAAACATATTTTGCGAGTTTCATCTGAGATTATAAACGATTTTTTTTCAAATTTTATCCGCAGCCAATCACAATTGTGTTGCATAATCGCCTCTTACAGGAACCAAAGTTGAAAAATACTCAAATAAACAATACAGATGTATTCTACAAACCATACTGAAAATGTTGGTATATAATATTATGTTGATATTTATTTGAATTTATGGCCCCCAAGACCTGTGAACTGCGCACTAGTCATCATCTCATTTCGCCCTCCCGAAAAAAAATTCGTCCACAAGCCGAAAATAATACGTAGCGAATGAGTTAAATGCTCTGTTTTGTCGACTAAGATTTTATATTGGAATAGTGGGTTTTTTTTTTTGTCTTGGGATTGTTTACCCTGTTTTGATTTGATCCATTTTTCTAAAACTTCACATGAATTATTTCTATACATACTCGTCACTGCCTATGTCCCAGTATTGATGTACCTTTACGTTGGAATACATATTTGTGTCATTTTAAGTGCTCTTTTGAGTGAATGCTTCATGTATTTCTAACTAGTAGTAGTAGGAGTAGTAGTAGTCGTAGTAGGAGTAGTAGTGGTGGTGGTGGCAGTAGTAGTTGAGGTAGTAATAGTAGTAGTGGTAGTAGTAGTAGTTGAGGTAGTAGCAGTAGTGGTGGTAGTAGTAGTTGAGGTAGTAGTAGTGGCGTCGGTGGCCTAGTGGTTAGGCTCTCAGACTCGCAACCGTAAGGTCGTGGGTTCGAATCCCGTCAGGGACCCGACGTTGTGTCCTTGGGAAAGGCACTTTACACGAATTTTCCTCACTTCACCCAGGTGGGAATGGGTACCCGGCTATAGACAGTGAAAAATCTTGTCAGTATGTTAGTGTTTGAGCGCTTAATCAGGTGCTTGCACTGTATGCTTCCCGGGAAGCTGAGATTGTTTCGGAGTGTTCTTTGGTCTGCAGGGGTAATAATATAGTGTAAAGCGCATAGAGTCTGCTGTTGAGTGGGGATTTGCGCTATATAAATGCTATCTATTATTATTAGTAGTAGTTGAGGTAGTAGTAGTTGTTGAGGTAGTAGTAGTAGTAGTGATAGTAGTGGTAGTAGTAGTAATGGTAGTAGTAGTAGTAGTATTGGTGGTGGTAGTGGTGGCAGCAGTGGCAGCAAATTATCTAAATTGTGGTCATGAAACATCTTCCAAAAAATTTAAGGCATAAGATGTGGCTGCCCACAAATATATCCATGTATATGCCCTCTGTTTGTGCGGGTGTGTGTGTGTGTTATTATTTTTTTAAATCCTGAAGTATTACATCAAGGACTCCTAGTCCAAATCAGGCTTTTCGCCATTTGCTTGACTATCTAATTTTTTGGCCATGTTGCTTAGCATACAGTCTTTAAATGTCTGGCTTTCCTTCTCACATATGAGCAATTGTGGTGTGTTCCGATGAACAAAGCTTCTGGAAATATTCCATTCAGATTAATTTTAAATTTGAATTCTGTCTCCTCCATTGTTCTCTTTTTGATCAAACTGTTTTGAATCTGCAGTTTAGCTCATCAGTAGTAGATGTATCTTTAATATTTTCATGACTTTTTTTGTTCATTTTCCAGGCCATAGCTCCTTACATTCCAAGGCAAGATCCTCGTTTGAACTCTGCAATCTATGAAATGGTGCTCAATGAATTTCTGGCCTCAGATTCTGATGTGAGTCACTTGGTAATTTGTGGAGTCTTAAAGTTTCTTAATTGTCCAATGACAGCTCTTATGTTCCTGCCAGTGTCAGTGTAAGTTAGGACAGTTGCAGTGAGCCAACTGAAAGGAGTCCCTGTGATGTAGTCTTTAGTTTGGTGGTTGGGGGTAACGGTTTTTTGATTTTTTAAAGTCTCTTTCTCTTGTTATCATCACTGTAAGTTTTCCATAATAAGACAACTTTTATTTTCTTATTGGTATTTGTGATGGATGGTAAGAATATCTCTAGCCCTTTGAACTCTTAACTCTTATTGTTAAAGATTCTGGTCTTGTGGAATTTCTCACAATAGAACGTATTTATTGTACCGTCGTATGATATTATTTTTGCCATATAAACTGAAGACCAAAAGAATTGTGGTAGTACTAAATCATGTGGGCCTAAAAGAGATTTGGATTATAAAATATGCTCTATGGATCTACACCTGAAGCATGGGTTTGAATGTCTGAAAACATATGTGAGGCAGCGTGGTGAAATCTGGCACTCATCAAAATAATGAAAGTAAAGAAACAGACACTTTTCCGCTGGTTTGGCTATTTTTGTAATCCCCCCCCCCCCTCAACATCTTCTATGTCCATTTAAGAACTTATTTCAGTGGGTGGTTGGCGGGTGCTCTGGTGTGGTTTGCTTCTTCTTTCCTATCAAACATCTATTGTCCTGATCTCTCCTCTTTCTGTTTTATGTTTGTTACTCTCTTATAACGCCTCTAATCTTCGGCTCTTATATGACCTTATTGTGTTGCAAGTGCCGTGATACTCTAACTAAAACTAAAACAAAGAACTTATTTCAGTGTGAATTATATTGAATAATGCTGATTAAAGGCAAAAAAATATGTAAATTGTCAGTTTTCAGGGACTCTGAGGCTTTGTAACTAACCAAACTTTGGTGGTCTTTTTCTCCCTAATTTTGTCTCTGAAACCAGGTGACCCCCACTTCATTCAATCGAAAATATCTTGACATGTACTTAAGATAAATGAGTAATTCTTTCATTGAAAGCAAGGCAAATGAACAAGCTTTAATGCAATACTGCAATACTAATAACTCCACATGCCCAAAAATTGACGAGTGCCTGATTCCACGGCATTGTGACACATACATTCAAATACCTGCCAGACCATGAATGACTTTTGTATCTTTGGTGATAACACAGCCTCTCTAGGTTTTCATCTGTTTCCTAAATATTGTTTTCAGCGTTTTTACCAATTGGTGAAGGAATGGCCTCCGCAGTTGTATGATAATGAGTCTATCATCAATGCCATCCTTGGACGTTTGGACAGAGAGAAAGATCCAGAAGTCTTGCTACAAAGCTTGGGCCAGTTGTAAGCTATCTTTTTCTGCTGTGTGGTTTTGAAAGTATGCCAAATGTTCTTGAGTATTGATGGCTAGCTAGACTGGAGAAATAACAGTTTTTTTACTATTGTTTTATGTGTGTCTGTCAAGTTATTGCCCAAAATGAAAATATGAATGTATTTTAATATTGTCTGTTCATGTTTTATAAATTTCTCTACCTGTTAAAGTCAAGTGATGTAAAATGATGTTTGAACTTTAGGGTTCAAGTAGCTAAAATGAGTAACTCACAGCGTCTGTAATCTTGACTCCATCATGTTGACTTGATGTTGAACAATTTTAGACAATTTTACTAAAAAATATTTTCGTTAGAAAAGTGGTGTGTATTTATCAGATCAGATGTAAAAAAGCCCATGCTTGAAAGGTGCATGACGCCTCAAAGCCTTTGGTGTTTAAATAGAAGTCCTTTCAAAATAACGTCAAAGTTTTCAAAGATAATTTTAAACACGAAATTGATAAAATACCTGCTCCAAAAAAAGGTGCCACTAGAAAGGTCAGTTTATTTTCTATACTTTTAGATTAAAGTCATCAGCTTGGAATTATTTTTCATCAATCCTTGCACAAAACTCCGAAAGCATGTGACCCCCCACACGAGGAGCACCCAGTAACTACAGTTACTCTGCGGCGCTGGCCAGAACAATGCTTGGTGTTTTTGTTGGGAAAAAAAAATCATTGTGTTTGAGGTAATAAAATACAGATTTGCAATGATTTCTTAGTCTTGAAAAAAATTAGGCTCCATATTTATGTTATAGTTTGTATGGAAATGTTTGATGCACTTGGTAATCTTTTATTATGTCAAACATTGGGTTGCAGCCAGTTAATGAATTAAGCAATATTTGATTATATTAAAACAGCTGCCATTTTCTTAGAAATTGACTGAGATGTAAAAGAATGGTACCAAAATTCCCAGGAGACTTAGGCCTTTCATATGGAGCTGGTGGATTTGGCATACAGGTACTTTAAAAATTAAGTTTCTGGTACGTACTTTAACATTTTCCACCCTCACAGCGCTCAGAGAGCACAACCTTTGTCCCCACAGACCAGGATGCAGGTGGGGTACATCAGTGAACTGAACATGATGATTGCATGTTCACCAAAAAAGGAATTAGAATCAGAACTGAAAACATTAGATCTAGCACATTCATCACCCGAATTTTCATCATGGGGCAAGTGTAAAGCAGCACTTATGCCAGGTCTACTCAACATTGTTACAAAAAAAAATTACTCCAATTGTTGTTAATGAACTGATTTGGACTTCAAAGGCCACAAGAATAATTCAGAAAGGAAATTACAACTTTAACAAGTACGCATGTTGTCAAAAAAGAGATCATTGCTATAACATTTTTGTAGCCATATCACACTGTTGCCGATTAGCGTCCCATAGGGGAAAAGTGTTAAGCTGATACCAATAACTCTACATGCCCAAAAATTGACAAATGCCTGATTTCACCACATCGTGATACAAATGTTTTGTTTAGAAACATACTGAATGGTTTGAATTTGCAAAAGTTGTAATGTCTTTTAATGATTTTGAAAAAGTGTTGCAAAACTGGATGGTTTTACTACTGTTATTCTTACAATTTTAAAGTTTTATCATTCACTTGATTTAAACTTTATGTTTTTTACCACGGGTTGCTCCACATTCAATCTGGTTTACCAATTCTCCTTTCATGATTGATTTTGAAAATTTCTGTTGTAAATTTTAAATTTCCTTTTAATCCTCATGATCTTCACATTTATTCTCTTCTTCAGATATGCCCACCAGAAAGCCTTTGACAAAGCTCTTGGAATATATTTGAGGTATGGAAGATAAGATATAAGATTGATCTCAAGAAATCACTGTATTTACTCACCCTATAGTGCAAGTAATTTTTCTAACAAAGAATTTTTAAAGGGCATTCTAAAGTATACCTCCAGTATTCAGGGTGTCCAGCAAAGTCGTAAAAAAGTCGTAAATTCGGCGCCCTGTTTGTAAAGGTCGTAAATGGTAGTAAATTTGCCTTGCAGGTAGTAAAAATTTGGTAAACGGTCGTAAATTAGCCTGCATACTGAATGATGAAGCCAGGAAGACTTTTCAGTGAACCCTAGCCACGGTACATGACTCCGTTTTTGCCGGTCGCGATTGTGATATAATTATTCGGTCACCTTTTCCCCGTCCGAGAGTACGTTTCACACAAAAGCCGGCTATGGCGGCAGGTGGAACACGAGGCTCGATCGGGAAAATCAAGATCTACTTTCGCTTTCGTTACCACCCTGAAATTTGGCGTAGATAAACTGATAACGCAACATTTGTACAGGTTGTGCAGTATACCCGCTTTGTCGCTGTGCAAATAAAATTAATAATTACTCGGACTCTTCACCGTGCTGTCACTTGTGGGGGTGGGGTGGGGGAGGGGGTGAAAAGAAAATACAAGCTTTGTCCGATTTTTAGATTGTCGGGTTCGCCAGCGGGACAGGTCAGTGAACCTTCGCGCGAGGCACTACAAGGTACGGCATCGGTGAGCACCGGCATTTGTTGGGGTCGCCAAAGTTCATTAAAACGTTGAGCGTTGCGAAGTATAGGACTACGGAGTAGGGCAGGGGTTATTGATTTTTTTAAGAGACACTCGGGAGATGGGGGGAGCGGATGAAGGCAACACCAGAG